AAAGATGGTGTGTTTACATCACGTACATTCTCTTACAATACTCGCTTTCTCTACACTCGGATACTTGGAGTAATCTCAAGAGTAATTTGTACAATAGTAAATTACAACACACTTTGGATATGTCTAAGACACTCTATTTATAGTAACAAAAAATAACATCTAATAACTTCCTCCATAATCTCCTTCCGCCACTTGTCTCAAATGTATGGCTCCATTATTCATAAGGTGACACGTGTCTCCCTCAATTTTCCACAAGCAAAACCGTTCCCTCAAACATTCAAATTTCAAATACTTCGACGTACCATTCGTTATCGGCAGGCGGTCGAACCTATGACTTCTGGGTGAGTCCTTCGACTTAGCTTCTTCTTTCTTTCGACCATTTTCTTGCGTTCAAGGTATTCCCCACCCTTTTTCTTTGGACACCTTTTTCCTAGCTGAGGCGTCGAATTTAGGAGCTAACAGATTTATATACATGAAATAAAGATTGTGAATAGACTCTTGGATGCAACATTTAAAATAAAAGATCTTGGCCAGTTAATATTCTTCCTAGGGTTTGAAATTTCCAGATCTGATGAAGGCATGTTTATGAATCAGAGGAAGTACACCCTTGAGCTTCTTGAAGACATAGGCTTTCTTGCAGCCAATCCTTCATTCATTCCCTTTGACCCCATAGCCAAGCTCCCCTTTACAGATGACATATCTCTTGAAGATCCTTCAACATACAGGAGGCTCATTGGAAGATTGATTTACTTAACTAATACTAGACCTAGCATCTCATATGTTGTTTAACACCTGAGTCAGTTTGTGTCCAAGCCTTTAGTACCACATTATCAAGCTGCCACAAGAATATTGAGGTACTTAAAATTTTTCCCTACTTAAGGTATCTTACTTTTATCTTTTAGCCCCTTGAAACTTTATGGCTTTGTTGATTCTGAATGGGCAAGGTGTCCTAACACAAGGAAATCCACTACTGGCTATTGTGTTATTCTTGGTTCATCCCTTTTATGTTAGAAATCTAAGAAACGGAATACTGTGTCCAGATCCTCTATAGAAGTTGAATATAGAGCTTTGACATCTCTCACATGTGAATTACAGTGGCTACAATATCTCTTCAAAGATCTAATGATTGTTTTTCTCAACCAGCCTCTGTGTTGTGATAGCAAATCGGTAATTTATCTTGTTTACCATCCAACATTTCATGAGAGTAGTAAACACATAGAGCTGGTACGCCATGTTATCTGAGAAAAATTTCTATCTAAACTTCTACATCTCCTTCCCAATGCTCAACTTCCTGACATGTTTATTAAGCCTCTGCACTCTGTTGCACTATCTGCTATTTTGACCAAGTAAGGATTGTTTTCAATCCACAGTCCAACTTGAGGGGAGATATTAACTAGTATACTTACCAATGTCTTTTATTGTACCGGGCTAGGCCCATTTACATTATTGTTATAGCCCAATTAAGTTAGAGTGCATTTAATTATGGTAGATAGTGTAGTTAGTTATTTTATCTTGTTTACAATCCAACATTTCATGAGAGTAGTAAACACATAGAGATGGTACGCCATGTTATCTGAGAAAAACTTCAATCTAAACTTCTACATATCGTTCCTAATACTCAACTTGCTGACATGTTTAATAAGCCTATATATATATATATATATATATATATATATATATATATATATATATATATATATATATATATATATATATATATATATATATATATATATATATATATATATATATATATATATATATATATATATATATATATATATATATATATATATATATATATCATTTTGATGCTTATTTTAATTTAATGAAGGAGTTAATTCTTTAATTTTTTCGACAATATTCCTCTTCTTTTATTAGAAGATCTTCATCATCAGCAACTACATTTATTGACTTTTTTTTATATATAAAAAATATATTGTTCATTTAAATATTTTTATAAATCATGTTATTTTTATAAATGGGAAACAATTTACTATTGAGCCAATTTTTTTTTATAAATGATGCCAAAAACAAAAATAATATGTATACACGGGAAAAATAATGTAAGGTTTTATTTTTAAGTTTTGTTTTTATTTTAATATTTTGTATTTATCACAATCAGTTAAAGTTATAAAAAAAAAAAACATTTATACATATTACTTTTAATGTATGACAAATATTTTCATATACGGGAACAACTTTATTATTAGTTCAAATATTTTTATAAATATTATTAAAACAAAAATAATATTTATATTTGTAAAAAAAATATATTGTTGATTATAATATTTTTATATAAAAGAACAACTTTACTATTGATTTAAATATTTTTATCAATATTGTTAAAATAAAAATAATATTTATATACTAAAATGAATACATTGTTGATTCAAATAATTTTATATATAAGAACAACTTTACTATTGATTTAATATTTTTAAATAATGTTAAAACAAAAATAATATTATATATATATGCATATATAAAATACATTCTTGATTCAAATATTATTTTAAAAAAAATTATGATTATAAGCGGTGACAATATTTAAATATTGAATAATAGAAATTTATTGATTATTAGTTTCAAATATGTGAAAAAATTAAGAGAGCTTTAAAAAGATTGAGTATATATTTTTAAATTGTTTTCTCTCTTAAAATAATTGTCTTATTTGTAAATATAACTTAAACAACTAATTTATCTAATGCAAGTTTTAAATTTTTTATTTTTAATCATATTATTCATAATATTTGCGTTTATATATATATATATATATATATATATATATATATATATATATATATATATATATATATATATATATATATATATATATATATATATATATATATATATATATATATATATATATATATATATATATATTCTATTTAAAATTTAGAATAATTATTTTTTGATATTCAAATAGATGGAGGAGTATTTTATAGAATTCTTTTTTTTTCTTTCCCTTTTTACGAAAATTTCGTGAAAAGGGAAAGAATAAAAGAAAAGCGTCCATTGTGCTAGAGTTTTAGCAAAAGCCGCTCTTTGGGGTCGTATTGATTGGTTGAAAGGTCTTAAAGAGAATGTTGTTTTAGGGGGAATGATACCCGTTGGTACCAGGCTTGGGTAAAAATAACACTTGGTGCAATTATTGTACTTAAAAGGTTTTTCTCCTTTTTTTAAAAAAAAAGAACCATATGAAAAATTGAAAAAACCCATGAAAGAAAGATTAGGGATTCATATAAATCACATTTGCAAGCTTAACGGATAATTGCATTACCCTCGCGAGCAAGATCACGTCCCTCATTCCGAGCTTGTACACATGCTTCCAGAGCTACTCAATTCGCTACGGCACCAGGTGCATTTCCCCAAGGGTGTCCTAAAGTTCCTCCACCGAATTGGAGTACAGAATCATCTCCAAATATCTCGGTCAGAGCAGGCATATTCCAAACGTGAATACCACCTGAAGCAACAGGGATAACACCTGGTAAAGAAACCCAATCCTGACTAAGATGATCATCTCGTGGCTATTGAGAATGAATTAAATCAGATGGTTCTATTTCTCAATCTTTTTTTTCGACCTAGGTTCTGTAGGAGCAACTCATAAAGATTGAGAAAAATTCGTCATTCACAACCACTGATTAAGGATTCCTCGAAAAGTTCAGGATTACGAATCCTTTTTTGTTTGATAAAAAGTCCAAATACAATGGATTCGGTCTCTTGTCTAGCAGACAATTACTTCAACGAAAAGGATGATTTATTCAGATCGACATGAGAGCCCAACCACATTGCATTGCCAAAACCTATGTTGTATATTGGAACGACGTTGATCTACTTGCTTTTATGATGTTACAATCCTCTTGTTGCCTTTCTCCTCCGCCCACAGCGATAAAATGTAGCTAGTTCATCACGAAAGAAACTTCGGACTATAAATGGAGGATCAATGAAAATGTGGTGAATAGCATGAATTGATTTCTAATAATATAATTCATGAAGGAAATAATAATATTTCTAGAATTCAATTCAATAGGAAAAATAGAAATATACTTTTTGAGGGTTGTCAAAGATCCTTTTTGTTAGAATATATATATATATATATATATATATATATATATATATATATATATATATATATATATATATATATATATATATATATATATATATATATATATATATATATATATATATATATATATATATATATATATATATATATATATATATACTATTTCAATTTATTTTTACTATTATTCTATTATTCTTAAGTTTTTTTTTTCAATTTTCTATTTTTATGACCATCTACAAATGGGCAGAGAATATCATATCTCACCCAATAATGTATGTATCCCGTGCTATGTTGTTAATTGGGATACATTTAAGGTTTGTTACTAGTGTTTATTGAAAAGAGGTTCGATGTTGTTAATTGGGATACATTTAGGAAAACCAAAGATATTGGACCCCGGGGTTACCAAATCTTAAAAAGTGAATGTGCATAGCTTATGAAATTAGAATGGGAGTTAAGAGCAAGAGTTAGTTCTCTTTGGTGCAATGTTATCCGAAGAAAACCTATTCCCTGATGCATTTGGTGCGAATTCGCATGTGAAGTTTTGTAAAATAGTCCATTTGCATGCCTTAAAAAAAACATTTTTTAATCATTTAAATCATTCTCTTATCATAGAAGTAAACCATAGTCATAAGTCATAAGTCATATATCAAGGAGGATGTTTTGTAAAACAGTCCATTTGCATGCCTTAAAAATAATAACATTTTTTAATCATTTAAACAAGAAATAGAAATCATTCTTTTATCATAGAAGTAAACCATAGTCATAAGTCATATATCAAAGAGGATGCTTTACCCATAGCAAACAAAATATTAAAAACCATACCATCTGTTTTTACAGACTACAACCACTCAAGATTATTTAACTGCAACCGCCATAGAAGTAAGGAATAGCAACCCAAGACATAACAAGACTGGACCAGATCACCTCATTCTTGCACTGCAAGCACACATCGAAGACATTGCCCTTCATGCAAAAGATCAAAAGCCTTGTTGATCTCCGTAAAAGTCAAATTATGAGTAATGTACTCATCAACCTTGATTTCCTGCAAAACAAGTTTAAGCAGAAAGATATTAACAACAATATTGTATTTTTAATGCAGTAGGCACATGAAAAATATTTACCTTCTTCAAGTACTTCTCTACAAGCCAAGGCACTTGTGACCTACTCTTAAAGCCACCAAAAGCTGTTCCTTTCCACACGCGACCGGTCACCAACTGGAAAGGGCGAGTTGATATTTCCTGCCCTGATGCTGCAACGCCCACAATAACTGATGTTCCCCAGCCCTGGAAATTTTCAACAAAGAATATTTTCATGTGTACAACTATCAGTCACCAGTGTAAAATTTGAACAATTGAGTTAATGAAACAGAAGCTGCAATTGCTTGCAGAGGCATTCACCTTGTGGCAGCATTCCAAAGCAGATCTCATCACAGAGACATTTCCAATGCACTCAAAGCTATAATCAACTCCTCCATCTGTTAGATCACAGATAACCTGCTGAATTGGTTTCTCATGGTCTTTTGGATTAATAAACTCGGTGACACCAAAGTTTTTAGCTGCAATGAAAAATAGCAAAAGATAACAAGTGAAAAAAAAATAACAGGTAAAGAAGAATCTTCTGTGGCACCCTGGCACCACAAAAACCAAGACTGAGAAAACAGACACATAACTGCTCATAGTAAGACAGTATGTATAACTATAGGTCTGCGTTTTGTTGCAGTTATGAGGAAAGAAAAACAATAAAGGAACAAATCAATTACTACAAATACATATCAAGATCATAATATAGCCATGTCATCTTCTTTGTTTGTACATAGGACTGTCAGATGCCGAGTGATTGTCAATACGTGAAAAAGCATTAGTTAAACATAACTACGAAATGAAAAAGGTGTTAAAAATCACTTCGCAACATTATAAACATATTGCAGGTTATTTAGGTCAACCAAACTTGAGATATACCTGTATCATACTTGTTGCTATCAATATCTATGCCAATAATCCGTGACGCACCAGCACTTTTTGCACCCTCTGCAACCTGTCAAGTATAAATTATGAATTATAACAGTAGCACAGAAACAGGCAAAAACATGAACATCTGATATTGTGACTTTAGAAACTTACAGCAAGCCCAACAGTTCCAAGGCCGAAAATTGCAACAATTGACCCTGACTCAACTTTTGCAGTGTTCCAGACAGCTCCAAGGCCTAAAAAGCAAAGAAATAAAATAGTAATCATAAACTCACAATAATAAGTGAACCAGGTCTATGAAGGATAATAGGCAAGACCGCATATTAAGGAAGAAATGTAATAAATAACTAACAATACAATCAAAAAGCAAACTGTTTATTTCAACCCATAAAACTCCCCCCGGTATCTTCATTAAACAATACAAAGCATAAAAACCAAAGTCCAACATTAGCATTAAGTTGATATTTTGCAAAGACTACTTCCATAGCATTAAAAAAGAAAGAAAGAATGAAAGGAAAATAAAGCAAACAAAAAGGTGTGTAAAGCAACATTTATATGATGGACTATAAAAATCAATAAACTATCAAGTACTTAATTACAAAGTGTGTGACTCACAGCCCTAATCAGATAAGTATATGACATGGCAACCGCGATAATATACATCTCCACGGATAAATATAAGACTATTTTCTAAACACACATCATGAACTCATTAGTTATGCACAGAGAAGTTAAGGTAAAATACTAAATCCTATACAACTCGACAAACAATACAGTTAATTCCTTCATAAAAAATAACAGAAAATGGAAAATAGTTTTAAGAGTTACCAGTTGGAACACCGCATCCAAGAAGACAAACTTTGTCCAAAGGAGCATCAGGATGAATCTTAGCAACACTAACATCATGAACAACAGTGTATTGACTAAAAGTAGAAGTTCCCATAAAATGATAAATCGGTTTTCCCTTAACAGAAAATCGAGACTTCCGATCCGACATCATAACCCCAACACCAGTAGCAGCACGAACCTTGCCACAGAGGTTCGTCTTGCCCGATTTGCAAAACTTACATTCTCCACACTCAGCCTGGTAACACGGAATCACATGATCCCCAGGCTTAACATCAGTCACACCTTCTCCAACACTTTCAACAATCCTAACAAAACAAAAGCAAAATAAAAACCTCAATTCAATTCATTTCAATTAAATCCGATGAACAATCATCAAGTTAGGTCAATGTTAGTTAGTACCCTGCAGCTTCGTGGCCGAGAATGCAGGGGAAAAGACCTTCTGGATCTTTGCCGCCCAAAGTATATGCATCGGTGTGGCAGAGAGCGGTAAAGAGGATTTGGATTCGGACTTCATTGGCTTGCGGCGGAGCAACCTCGACGTCTTCGATTGTTAAGGGTTTGTTGGGTTCCCAGGCCACCGCAGCTTGAAAACGACGTCGTTTAGTTAGTTTAGGACTTGTTTGTTAATAGTAAGAGAAATTGAAATAGAAATTGAACGAGTACCTTTGCATGTAATGACTTGACCTTGAGTTGCCATGGAGATGAGATTGAGAGTGGGGACTGAGGAGAGCGAGTTGCCACACACACAGCCTCAGGAGATATAAATAAATAAATAAATCTAACAATGTAAAAATGAGACTTCTATAGGTAATTACGCCCAAATTAAGATTACTACAAAATATCTTCAATTTTATTTAAATAACGAGGTTTATTTTTACAATATTGATGTACATTATACTTTAACAATATGGTTTTCAGTGTATGATTAATATTTTAGTTGAATGCATAGTTAATATTATATACATATTTAAAAATATGATATTATAATTTATATAATTTAATATTGTTTAAGATAGGATAAACAGCGCAAAAAAGTTGAGTCTGAGTTGAATTTAGAATACCATCGCAAATGAACAAAAAGCAGGTAGACTCTTTCTAGAAAGTCGCATACTAGATTCGAACTACTTACTCGTCATTGTCGTTGAATTTAATCTAAAGATCTCTTGTGTTTCACGACAGGCCAAGTAGGAGCAATTTAAACCTCTTTGTATGTAAACTCTTTTTCGCATCATAACAAATACAATTTTCATTCACTTTTACAAAGTTATATCTCTCTGACTTCACTAACTTAGGTATTGGAGTACACCTGTGCTCTAATGTATTGAAGATCTACACCATCATACATACGAGTTCTACATCTATATATCACCGAAATTTTGTTATATGCTAGAATAATAGTGTCGTATGTGGGAATCGTCTTCTAATTCTCGTGAATTTCCAAGAAAAGTCCGCCAAATCCTTCAAGTTTAGTTGCCACAACTGTTATATTACCTGGATTAATCTCTGTTAACTCTTCACTGGTATAACTTTCAAGTTAGCTAAAATAGCCACACATAACAATGTTAGTGTTGCGGTAGAGGTTGTCGCACTGATCCTAACTCCCACATAAGAGGTTTCACCTCTTCCCGCAAGAGGAGTCGATCAATGTCCTTATAACTTCTCCAATTATATCATCTCTTTATGCTCAAGTTCCTCCACCCGTTGGCCTGAGAACTTTCCAGACTCTAGGACCTTTCAACCTATAAAATAGTTACTTCAAGATCAACCTCTAAGCAACCTCAACCGCAAGCAAAAGCTCATAAACTAAAAATGTTTTCGAGCCTTTAATAACTACAGATCGCCATTTGGATGCAAGGAGTGAATGAGTTGATCACAAGCATTTACAATTTGGTACAACAACAAAGTGTACACCTCTTGGCTAAAAGATTCCTTGGAATATAAGAAAATTAATAAGTTGTTATGTATTGAGGTCACACTTGGTGGGAGGTGGCACCGTACAATAACATCGAAGCCACGCCTATGGTGATTCTTTATGACACTGACTCGCAGTACCGGGGGGAATGGTTTCAGAGGTGGAGACCCATTTCATACCCTCCCGCACAAGAGATTTCACCTCCTCCCACAAGAGGAGTCTATCAATGTCTTTGTAACTTCTTCAATTGTTTCATCTCCTTATGCTCAAGTTCCACCACCCATTGGCCTGAGAACTTTCCAGACTTTGAGACCTTTCAACCTATAAAATAGTTACTTCAAGGGCAACCCTCTAAGCAACCTCAACCGCTAGAAGAAGCTCCTGAACTAAAAATGTTTTCAAGCCTCCAAAAACTTCATATTGCCTTTTAGATGCAAGGAGCGAATGAGCTGATCACAAGCATTTACAATTTGGAACAATAGCAGAATACACACCTCATGGATAAAATACTCCTTGGAATATAAGAAAGTTAATTAGTTGTTATATATTAAGGCCACACATGGTGGGAGGTAGCATCATACAATAACCTTAAAGCCACACCTATGATGGTTCTTTACGACACCGACTAGCAGCTCTGGGAGGGGGGCAAATAAATAGATTTTTTTCATCCTAGGGCTCACTAATCTCTCTATAATGGTTCCGGAGGTGGATACCCCATTCATACCCTCCCACACAAGAGTTTTCACCTTCTCCTGTAAGAGGACTCGATCAATGTCCATGTAACTTCTCCAATTGTTTCATCTCCTTATGCTCAAGTTCCTCCACCCATTGGCCTGAGAACTTTCTAAACTCAGGGATCTTTCAACCTATAAAATAGTTACTTCAAGGCCAACCCTCTAAGCAACCTCAATAGCAAGTAGAAGCTCCTGAACTAAAAACGTTTTCGAGCATCCAACAACTTCAGATCACCCTTTTGATGCAAGGAGTGAATGAGCTTATCACGCGCATTTATAATTTGGTACAACAACAGAGTGCACACCTCCTGAATAAAAGAATCTTTGGAATATAATGAAATTAAAAAGTTTTTATGTATTGAGGCCACATATGATGGGAGGTAGCACCACACAATAACCTTGAAGCTACACCTATGGTCGTTCTTTACGACACCGACTAGTAGCACCGGGGAGGGGGAGGAGCTCATCAAATAACTATAGCATTTTCATCCCAGGGCTCACCAATCTCCCTTTCATAGTTCTTGAGGTGCAGACCCCATTCATACCCTCCCACACGAGATGTTTCACCTCCTCCTGCAAAAGGAGTCGATCAATGTCCTTATAACTTCTCCAATTGTTTCATCTCCTTATGCTCAAGTCTTCTACCCGTTGGCCTGAGAACTCTCCATACTCTGAGACCTTTCAACCTATAAAATAGTTACTTCAAGGACATACCTCTAAGCAACCTCAACCGTAAGTAGGTGCTCCAGAACTAAAAATGTTTTTGAGCCTCCAACAACTTCAGGTCGCCCTTTGGATGCAAGGAGCAAATGAGTTGATCACAAGTATTTACAATTCAGTATAACAATATTGTGCACACCTCCTAGCTAAAAGACTCCTTGGAATATAATAAAATTAATAAGTTGTTATGTATTAAGGCCACACATGGTAGGAGGTAGCACCATACAATAACCTCGAAGCCATGCTATGGTGGTTTTTTATGACACCAGGTCGCAACATCAGGGGGGGGGGTCCCTAAATAACCAAGACATTTTCATCCCAAGGCTCACCAATCTCCCTCTCATGGTTCTGGAGGTGGAGACCTCATTCATACCCCCCACCCCCATACACACACAAAGTTTTCTTCCTCAAATATCTTTATTTCAACACTCTCAGAGAAGAGACGAACATGGTATCGAGGCTCAGACTCATTCTAAATGCAAGAAGAGCATGTTCTCTAAAACACATCCTTGATAATAGGATCTCCAAATCTCTTGAAAAAACACAAAAGTAGGATAATTATGACATGACTAGGGATCCAGACGAGCATATCTAATATGTGGATACCATGCTCGACTATCACCACGCTAGGAGCATTGTGAAATGTAAATTGTTTATCATGAACCTCAAGGTAGCCACCATGATGTGGTTTAAAACCATACCTAATTATTCCATAAACTCTTGGGCAAATTTATGTGATGAATTTATGATTCAATTCATAACTCGAAAGTGGCAGCCAAAGATGATAGTCATTCTTAAATGGATCCATTAGAAAAAGAAGGAAATCTTACGAGAATATATTAACAAGTTTACAAAGGTGGAAATTGAGGTAGGCGATGTAAGAACAAGATTTGGTTATGCATTTGTCCTTTAGTTTTGATGATAACAATACATTTTTTCTTAGAAAATAATGTTGTACCCTAATGGTTTTGTCTAGTGTGTAGGTTTTTCTTACAAGTCCTGACTCTGAAGATTTGGTGTGTGACATTATTCAATTTTGAACTCAACACGCTCTGCCTCTAGAGAGATATAAATGTACGCTTACAAGATTACGTCAAGTTCTGAAATGCTCTTAGACAACGGTTCTGATGAATGTTTATGCTAAAACTTTTGAATCTGACTCTGATAGAAGAGCCTCTGAAAAATTTTCAAGCTCTCAAGATTCTAAAGACCGGGTTCTGAAGACTCTGAAGACCAGGTTTTGAGGAACAATGTCAAGACTCTAAAGACTAAGATTTTGAAGCTTCTTTTAACCAGACTCTTTATCCTTCTAATCATGTTTCAACAACATATACTCAGAAGCCTATGAAGATCAGAAGATAAGATCAAAAGGTTTTACATGAGAAAATAGTACATAATACAAGATTTCCTTCCACTATGTTGATTTTGTGGAGTAAAGACTGTACTATTGTACCATTTTGTCTCCCACCTTTGCAGACCGTTATGTAAGGTGATGAATTATTTGTGAAGATTTAAATTCTACTCTCAAACTGATATTTTCATTTCTTATATAAAGAAGACTTTGGAGAATGAATGAGCTTGCTAATTTTACGAAAGACTAAGCTATTCACGCAACATCAATGCTTTTATTGAACATATTATTATTGTCAATAGAAACACACATAGAGATTTTTTTCATTTTTTTGTGATTATTTCATTGTACTTAAACTTTATGTAATCTTCTTTTTGAAGCAGCTTTGTAAACACTTTTCTTGTATCTCGTTATTTGAAGTTGTATTCCTTGAGAGATAAGGGTTTAGTCAGGATTCTCGAGAAGACAGTGACGAGTAGTTATTGTGTGTATGTAATTAGGTCGATTATAGTGGATTAAGTCCTTGTTGATAAGACGAAATCACATTGGCGTGTGGACTAGACAAGCTTTGTTAATAGTGAACTAAGATAAAAATATTTGTGTTCATTTTTTTTGTTCTTGTTTCATCTTTGAGTGTCTTGGGTGCGAAAAGGTTTTATCTTAGAAACTCAATTCAAATCCCATTTCTTATTTTTCTTGTCACCTTTAGGCGGATCAAATGAGAGACTAAAATGTTAGATCTTTGAAAATGGATTAAGGAAGAAATGTATGTTTCGTGAAAATTTAGGATTGAATGGTGTTGGAAGCATGAATGACCTTTCTTACTATAGCCTAGTTAACTATGAAGAGGAACTTATATTAGAGGAATTGGGGAGGAATAAAAGGTCGGGGAACTTGGTGAATAAATAATTGGCAAAAAAGAGACATGAACTAGTGTTGAGATAACAAAGTTTGGAATGCCCATCGAGGCCCGCGGGCTT